GCTCTATTATAAAAGGTGTCGCGTGTTTTCATTGAAAGTTTTATTTCTTGATCAAACCATTTATTCTTCAAAGGAGAATTTTTTAGGATCTGGATTGGCGCTACAGTATCCAATACTTCCAAAATATTTTTGTTAAAATTTTCCAGTAACACGTTTACGGAGCCATCTTGTAACCAAGCTTTTTCCAATAAATGCCTCTCTAGTTGGTCTTTATCGATGTTCTTAATACTTCTAATTATTATATTTTCAGCGTCCTTATTAGAGTTTCTGTTTTTATTTTTTGTTTTTTCTTTATTTTCATGAGCATTGGTACAGCAAATAATATCGTGATCAGTTATTTTTGGGTTTCTAATAATTTCAACTTCTGCCTTCTCATTATTTGTAAATAATAGGTCAACAATTGTTTTGTGAACACCATCTATTCTTGTAAAGTCAATGACTTTTTGAACTAGACCAAAGGACTTCATCATGTTCAACAATTTATTACTATAAAAAGAAGGTCTGTCTTCATTCATATCTATATTAAAATCTCCCACTATGTACAGGTTAACCAGAATAACTTAGCAATTTTTACCACAGTCAGTACTTGAAATGGCAAGTGCTCTTTAATAAAACACAAAACTCCCCCAGTGAACCTATTTTCTGAGCCACATCGTACAATGTTATAACCATTAATAAAAATCTCTTGGTCCTCTATGTCTGAAGTCACTCTGGCTTCAGTTGCCAGAAATACTTCTATGTTTGCTTGACTAATCAGTTCACTTATTTCTTCAATGTGTGCTGTGAAGCTCTGTACATTCAAACAAAACATCCGTAGTTGCTATTTGTTGTAGTTTAGCTTACTTTTCGTTTGCTCCTCCGCTCGTTGAAGACATGGACATGCCCTATCCCATACTGTATGATTTGTATTTAAACTTGTACCATACTTCTTGTTGGCTCGTAAACAATTTATACAGCTTTCATTATTTTCATTACATTCAGCCTCACTGTGGTTTTTGGAACATTTTGGACAGCTCTGATTTTTTTCTTCACATTCTCTCGAGAAGTGATTAAATCCCTGGCACTTATAGCACTTTGCAATATTCAAAAATTCAAACACACGACATGCATGCAGACTAATGAATACTTTCTCTCTCTGTTTCAACCTTTCAAAAGTTATCATATCAGTCTCAATCAAAGCATTGTAGTATCCTTTATGCTCTTGGGTGAGGTAGAACACATCCAAGTGGAAATTATCTCTATCTATATCAATGTTGTTCTGCATTATAAGTTTTTCTCTTATCAAATTACCCTCTTTATTAATGCCAGTAGGAATATTTATAATCTTCATTTTAGGGTATGTTTTTTTAGGTAGCTTGACTTCGTACTCTCCTCCAATATTTTTCTCTATTTCTTTTCTTATGTTTTCGGGGGACTCATGCTCTGAGCATTCGATTATTACACCACCGTTGCTCAGGTTTTTTCCAAAGTTTACATTCATTTTCATTTTTATTGGATCCACTTTATTAACTAAATCTTTTTTAACTTCTTGATGTGTTTTCTTCTCTTTTGGTTTTACTATAATAACTTCCTTTCTTTTTACTGCTACTGCATCCCTATATGACATCACTCCATTCCTGTTAGAAGGTGATTCTGATATATGTGAGTTTATTTCATTATTTTTTGAAAATTGCTTTTTCATTTCTTCTATGGCCTTAAGACATTCCTCTGACCGCCTCTCGGCCACTTCCGCACTTTTTTTTATGGTACTAATATCATCAATCAACCTCAGATTTTGTTTGACCATCTCAATGCACTGACTGCAAAACCAAAATACATCCGATGCATCACTCACACTTTTTGAAAAATTATCCTTAATTTTTATGCACATATTGTGAAAACGATTCCTACAAAAACCGCAATTTATCGTTTTGTTGTTGATTACGAAATTGTCCTCGCAAACGGAGCATTGTGGTACCTCGTCATCCGACATTTTGACGCGCGGCAACACCGTTCGCTCGCTCCTTTGTCGCGACCACTGCGAACTGGCCGACGTAGAGAAAACTATTTCGGGATGGAGTCCCCTGATAACGGCATATTTACTCGATTTTATAGGTAATCCTAGTTTTTTCACTGGAAACAAACATTCCACTACACAGTACCGATGTTATAACTGCAATGTATCACAATTTTGAAAAAAATATAGACTTTTATCAATTAGATTATTACAATTTTGAAGACTCTCAAATGAAAACACATATCACGCTATGTTGCCAAACTCATACAGATGTCAATACAGGGTGGAAAATTAAAAAGGATCCACCTGGATTTTCTTGAAAATTGTCAGGAAATTAAAAAAACGCCGAAACACGTCGATTTTGTTTGCAAGGGGGACACTTTTTGGCTATTTCAAAATTTTTCTAGATTGTACCCCTTTACCAGGGTGAGTTGCAGCCTCAAAATTTGAATAGGAAAAATGAGGTCGAGTAGTACCTTGTTTGAGAGGTATTTGAGATGACTTTACAGATCTGTAATTTATTTTCAAATCTGACAACTACTTTTCAAAATATTCGCCTCCGAAGTTGCCATGGGGCGAAAAGAGAACGTGTTTTTTGTACAGGGTGGACACTTTCTCATGGAAACACCCTTTCTTTTTAGATATAGAGAAAAATGAACCCTCCACTCTGAGGCTCAAATTTCATGAAATTTTGATTGGTGTAAATCGCATTTTGATATCTTCAACCGTTTAGCCGCTAGAGGGCGATTCTCGATTTTGAGCAATATTGTAAAACCTTCATAACTTTTTTGTTAATGGAAATAATTGATTTCCGTAAAAACTTTCTGGAAGCATTTTCTTAAGCAGAATTCAGTGACGTTCTCAGTTTTTTTCTATTTGGCGCCGATTTTGAGATATTGACCAAAGACTGATTTTTTTCAATAGGACACCCTTTATATTAGTAGCTCATTGAAAAGGTATGATTTTATTGATATAAAATACGATAGGTTTATCTTTAACCGTTTTCGAGAAAAAAAATTATTTCGGTTTTTCTCATAAGAAGCAATGTGTTAGAAAAGGATTTTGGTGATAGATCACTTTAGGTCCCTTTGATTTTCAATATGATTTTGATTATTACTGATAAACAAAGCAATTTCAAGATGGTTAGCGAGAAAAAAAATATGGATCCTTGAATATTTATCAAGTTATGATTTTTTTAATTTAATTTTTTTCTTCGTTGATTGTGCATCTTTGAAAGGTATAGCGATATTAAGCTGATAAGAATAGATATTATTTATTGATCTGTGGCAAAGGTTGAGAAGCGAGAGGATATAAGGCATTAGTGACTAGTGATTTTTTACAATTATTATTATTTTGTTCATTTATTTTGTTTACTTTAATAGATTTCTATTTTATGGCAAAATCAGCATACCACCTTGGTAAATATTTACAATATTAAATGTTTATGGAAAGGGGTTTTTGAGGTTTTTCACTGATTTTATTGATTTTTTACTGGTTTTTTACTGACATTTTGAAAATTCCTACCTAATTTGTGATTAGTTTCCTTATTTAACTTAGTAGTTGTCTAATAATGACCTAACGGTGCAATCTTTGCATTGAAGTAAATGGTCAACATTTTGAACAATTATTGTAAACCATAATTTATTTGTTAATAAATAAGCAAAATTAATAAGTAAACAGTGATTTAATTATTGCGAAGAATAAAAGTACCAAACAATTTCTTTGCTCTACAGCCCTAATGGCTCATTTGCGGACATATGTTTATATAAACAAAAATGCTTGTTTTTTGTTTTGATGTCCCTTACTATCCTTTAAAGTTTGTCGGTATCTTTTAAGGACACCCTGTATATTTGAATAATATATTGTTTATCAAAAAAATGAACTCATCCATATTTTTTTCTCTTCATTATGTTCTAATAATTGCTCCAATGCAAATTTGAACATAGAAAAATTGTCCGTTTTCAGGGGACTGTGTTCTAGCCCCCATCACTGCATTCTGCTTGAAAAAGTGCTTCCAGAAAGTTTTTACGGAAATCAATTATTTTCATAAACAAAAAAGTTATGAAGGGTTTACAATATTGCTCAAAATCGAGAATCGCCCTCTAGCCGCTAAACGGTTGAAGATATCAAAATGCGGTTTGCACCAATCAAAATTTCATGAAATTTGAGCCTCAGAGTGGGGGGTTCATTTTTTTCTATCTCTAAAAATAAATGGTGTTTCCATAAGAAAGTGTCCAAATTGGCTCACCCTGTACGTTTCTACAAGAGAAAATTGAAATTCCTGAAACAGGTATATTTTGTTTTTTTCTTTGTTAGTTTGAACCTTTTGAACAACCTTTCAAAAATGACTCACTTATCATTTTTTCACCAAAAACACGGTCTCTTTTCGCCCCATGGCAACTTCCGAGGCGAATATCGTGAAAACTAGAAGTCAGATTTTGAAAAAAAAATACAGATCTGTAAAGTCATCTCAAATACCTCTCAAACTAGGTACCACTCGACCCAGTTTCCCTATTCAACTTTTGAGGGTGCAACTCACCCCGGTAAGGAGGTGCAATCTAGGAAAATTTTGAAATAGCCAAAAAGTGTCCTCCTTGCAAACAAAATCGACGTGTTTCGGCGTTTTTCTAATTTCCTGATAATTTTTGAGTAAATAAATAATCTTATTGATTTTATATGAATATTTATTTATTGAAACAAGAAACAATACATCAACTGAACCACTAACGATATACTGTTTGAGGTTAAAGTTCTTGGGACAAAGACAAAAGTGTGATTTTTTTAAATAGGTTTCTAACTTTCTAAACATTCCTAAAATATCATTTTGTTTTCTTTTTTTTTTAAATTTTATTATTTTATTTTAAAAAGGAGGCGGCAATTGCCCCCCTTGCCCCCTCATTGTATCCGCCACTGGAAACACCTTTACATTTACATTTACAAAGAAATAATTTGTTTTGGTCCTTATTCCCATGATAATAGCATTTAATTAATTATTTTCTTATAGATAACAAAAATAATGACGACAACAAAACCAATGGTCATTCTGATGGAGATAAAGAAACAGGTAAGTAATATCATAGAATAATATACGTAGACTAGAAGGCGAACTGCATGTGAAAAATCGGGCCCCTTCGATGGATCCAGGCTTTCTGTCGCGCGATTCCATTTGACCCCTGAGTACGAAAAACTAGACCGTGTTGCCAATTGCAGCACGTTGTCGTTGTGTTTCCATCTTTGTAATTTCATTTTTATTTTTATTTCTACTTAGATGAAAAAAATGTACAAGCTAATTACAATATTTTTCACTAGGTCCAATAATTTTTATATCGAAAAATGTCATAACTTTGTCAAAATTCAGTTTTCATTCTTTTTTACACATACCTCGCGATATCTCCAGAACTAATTGAGATAATTTCATTATTTTTTTTTATTCTGAAGAGATTATGTTAACGAAAATCACTAAGATAACTTTGTTTTTCTGAAAAACTCGCTTTATTCGTTAAACTAGGTGAAACTTTAACTACACTTTTTATGCAATACTTTTTTCAGTAAGCGAGAAACTTTTTTGTTTTAAGGATTTCTGTCATACTATCAGCGAATGAAACAAAGCTAAAATATCAAGGAAGTTTTTGATTAAAACCTCGATACTCCGCGACTCATAGTTTTCAAGATATCGTCACTTAAAGTTGAGAGTTTTACCGGCTGTCCACTACTCCGGGTAGCTGCGCAGCGCGCGTCTTTCGACTAGTTTCGATTGCTTGTTTTTTGAGCCTGGGTGCATTTTCATGATATTTTTGAGCAAATTAAAATTAATAAAATCTGTAACTTTGGTTTTAAATATTAATGGCATAAATATTTGCTTTTCACTGATTATTCTCATCAACTTGGGTTTGGAAATTGGACACGTGTTGTAATTAACCACAAAAAAACAAGGGTTCGTTGTGTAAAATTTCCCAATAATTAGCAGAAAAATGCATAGGGTATTTTTTATAAACCCTATGTATAAAAAAAAAATCTTCCAAATCATCATGCAAAATCACGTCGGGTTTGGGAGGGCAAACACGCAAACTTACGACAGTTTGGATATTCGCAATGACTCCAACATTTTAATCCTTGCAAATTTCTTTTTCCAAATTTCCTACTACAAATACCTAGATATCATGTATTGATTAAAAAATATGTAGTTCTACCATGTCCTAACTGTATAAATAGACTTTGGGGAGTTGCTGGTATTGTGCAGTAGACATAAATAAGCAATAGGTATTAGGACATCCGACAGATTTTACCAGAATTGTGTTAACTGATTTTAGTTCTGTTAGCACATAAGGTGGTATGAATAAAAATGAGCATTTAGTTTCTACTTCAAATTTTGGAGTAAATACTCCACGTGGTATGAATAAAAACTTTGATAAAAACTACGAGCAGATATTTCGCTTGAGTAGGTACTCCTATGTATAATTTGGTATGAGTAGATTCTCACTTTTGGTATGAATAAAAAATTGTTTATGCTCTTCGGCAGGAGAATCTACTCCATAGTTTTAGAGTCTACTATGCAGTTGACTTAACTTTCTGCTTCAAGTTATTTCAGTACCGATTTTTCCTCGGTAGAAGGCAGAGCTATGGCAGAGTTCTTCAATTTTAACCTGCGTTTAAAAAAATTTCACAAAGCTAGAAAAAATACGTGTGATCGGGACTTTAAAACGTTGTACCGGTTTAGTAAAGAAAATGTGGAGTGGTTATCAAATCAATTTTATGCAACAAAGACAAGTTTGAAATATTTTTAAGATACGTGGGTGACGCGGGCTTTCAGGCAGGAGTAGACGAGGATGTTGGTGTTCACCAAACTTCGATGTCTTAAGTTGTATCGGAAGTAGCTGATAAGATAATTCAGCAAAGTGAACGGTGGATCAAATTTCCCCGCAGTCCTGCGAATATAATATGATCCATTCACAATCCGATGTCCACAGGTACAGGTAAAATTTATCAAATTTCAATGCTATTTGATAGGGAAAGGTGATAAATTTACCTGTATCTGTGGACATTGGATTGTGAGGAAGAAAAAGCGGCAAAAGAGCGGTGGCAAGCAAAATAAAATGTTGAGTATCTACTCTATGTACTAGGTGTATGTACTTATCAAACCGAAATCTTTTTTATTCTTACGGAATGGAGTATAAGCTCAGACTTCATACTCATGCTCACGAGTATATACTCCGAGTTTAAACTCAGTTTTTATTCATATCACCCCAAGGTAATAATCTGGTATTAGCTTCTTTTTGAGTACTCTTTGATTTTTCCAAATGAAACAAAGTTCAGAATCCTGGAATCCACCTGTTATGACTGTTGATTCATTTATTAGTTTTTTTTTATGGTCGGCATATATGGCACACACACAAAAGGAAAGTCCTACATTACTTAACGAGCAGGGTGTTTGTGGAGGTGTCGTTGGACATTGGTTTTGAAACGCTGGAGGTTGTAGTTTTCGGGGAAGATGTGACTTTGAAGTGCATTCTAGAGCGAGGCGGCCCTCCAGAAAAATGAGTCTCGAAACAGTGATGTTCTAGGCATTCATAACTGAACTGTATATTGTAGAGCTGTTTGTGCCTGACGAGTGTTTCTGTTTGGTGCAACTTTGGGCGAAATCAGAAGTGCTAGCTCGTTCGAACACCTTCCGTAGTAGTATCGATAATAAGTGATAGGTCCGCCACTTTTCACCGATGTTCAAGGCTTTGGAGGTCTTTGGTCAACTCCGGGTCATCGATAAGACGGACTGCTCCCTTTTGTATCGAGTCCAACGCCTTGAGCAAGTGTTTGCGGATCCCGATCTCCATATACGTATAGGAGCAGTATTTTAAGGATGGCCTTATCTGGGCGTTATAGAGCAGCAAAAGCTGAAATGAGATATCAACTTCCTTGATCTATAAAGTGTTCCTAGCTTTTGTGCTGCTGTCTACGCGATTTTGGTGATGTGGGTACGTCAATTAGACATGCCCAACAGTAGCCCAATGCAATGATCGCGACAAACCTCGCATCTTTATTAGTAAAAACTTGTTGGGAGGTTGTATAGTTCGACGTGCGTTACAATATATTTTAAACGGCGCATTCAATCCCCTTAAAACAAAAAAATTTCTCGCTTACTGAAAAAAGTACTGTATAAAAAGTGTAAGTTGAAGTTTTACCTTGTTTTACGAATAAAGGGAGTTTTTCAGAAAAACAAAATTATCTTTACTGATTTTCGTTAACATAATCTCTTCAGAATTAAAAAAAATTATAATACAGGGTAATTAGCCTTTTTAAACTAAAAACAAAATATAAAGCTAAAAATTTGTTTGAAGGTACATTATAATAAGTAAATAAAATTTAATAGACTTGCACCTTGTGCTTGATGGTGGAAAGCCGCCAGTGGACTCTATCTTGGAAATAATAATTAAAAAAATTAGTTTCGCTACTTTTTTTTAATGTTAAAGTCAATCACAAAACTAATCAAATAAATGTCCAAAAATGATAGGAAGGAACCATGCTTCACGTTTAGCGAGCCGCCACCATTTTGCTGGTCTGAAGCTATCCAATCTTTAACCTAGAATAAAAAAAAATTCCGTTGTAATGCTGCGAAGGAGCATTCCTATAGCTCAGACTGTTCTTCTTCGTCACTTAGCATGGGAGGTCTGTAGCTGCATTATTCACCATTATATTTTCTACACATGGCGGTACAGTCCCCGTCGGCGACAGTCACATCTTTGGGCACAAATTACAAAATACCAACTTCAATAAATTTTCGGGGCTCAAAGGGTCAAGTGTAGGGTGCAGGAATTGGTACCAGTTGTCCCTCTCTCTTCTTCCATCCTCAATCAATAGCAGAAAGTTCTACCCCTCGCCAAGACTGAACTTGATGAAAAACTCTGTAGCAGTGTTGTTTTGTTATTCTAGATGTTGGTGGTAATACCGAAAGATTAAACTTTCCAAAAACGGGTTGTTTAGCTATAACCCTTAACAGTTAAATCTGGTTTTGCTTAAGTTATCTGAAGAAACACGACCGTTATATAATAGTTTTAAGAAATACTCTCCGGCTTGAGCAATATCTTTTTTGGTTGCATTGGTATCATTGAATTTAGAAACCTTTTGTCTTAATATCTACAGATCTCTTAGCCCTATTTGTTTTTCTAATATGTTCTGCATTCTTCGTACCATATTCCCTTTCATTGTAACCATCAAATACAATAGTACTTTCAAGGCCATAGTGTCTTTTAATATAGACGATGTAACTATCACATATGTACCTATTTGGGAAAACGAACCAGGTTTTGGTCAAACTACTCTAAGGAGAAGATAACCACTATCTATTACAAAACAAGGTTCTGAAGGCAAACTGTCCGGGATAGCAACGCTAGGGTAGTTATCATATTCACAGGCAACTTTGATTATAATCGCGGCAGCTTTAACGATTCGCATTCGTTCGTCTGTACTATTTTTTAATTTGTCCCCATACCACTCATCATTTAGGCTACGAGAAGCTGTACCCCGGGAACATACTGTCCATTTTCCACTTTTTGATGGAATGGAATCACCATAATGAGCCTTAAGTTTCATTTTAACATATTCTTCAGAATAAACTTCTTCGTCAAGGGATTTTTCATTCATTACTGACATCAATTCTTTTATATCGTACTAACATTCATCATTATTTTCTAGAAAATCACACAACTGATAAAATTTTCCTATCACATAAAGAAAGAGGCACGATTAACATTGAAAATAGGCCCCCCGTAAATCTCAACCAAATTACAATATTTTAAAGGTAAAGAGGATCGTACGTCTGTGATAGCAGATATAGCCTATCAAATTACGTAGGTCCTTCTATGCTATGCATAGGAATTATCCGAAGAAATATAGGTACCTACGTAGATTTTCTTAAATATCTCGATTTTGACGTGTTTGGGGTTTGATACGTACAAAAGGACCCCAAAAACGTCTTGCATCCCCACCACCCGGCACACCAACTTTTAGCTTTATACAGTGACCGCCAAAAAGTTTGCAACAAATGGGAAAATATTTTATTATTAAGATATCAAAGAGAATGTTACGTGGGATAGATTCAGCATACCCATCAACAAAAAAAAGTACAGTGACAGATGTCATGTGACCACAGTTGTTATGGCGGGAAATTTAAAAAGTTCTCCTCAAATATGTGAAAAGTGGGGTTAGATGACCAGAAATCGAAAAATTGTAGAGATAAAAGTGGTTCAGGATTCGATTTTACGGCTATGTGTGAATTTTTAAAAAGGTACAAGCATTTTTAATAAATATCAATTTTTTGGCCTGTTTCCTGGTAATTTAAAAAATATCAAAAACTTTTTGCTTGGTTCACATAATTCAAAAAGAAACTAACCAAAAAAAAATCCAGTGCAATCATTCTGCTTAATTGTCCCGCGGAAAAATTGTAAAAACCCAAAAATTCATTTTCAGACCACTCTGATCTTGTTGCAAATGACCTACAGAAAGCAGAAATTTGGAATAACAAATTTGGAATTATCATAAAATCTTTCTAAATGATCCAATACCTCTTTTTTAAATTCAATTAAACCAATATTTTTCCGAAAAGTTTTTAATATTCTCCAAATTACCAGAAAACAGACCAAAAAATTGATATTTATTAAAAATCCTTGTACCTTTTCAAAAATTGACACATAGACGTAAATCGAATTCTGAACCACTTTTCTCTCTACTATTTTTCCATTTCTGGTCATCTAACCCCACTTTTTACATATTTCAGGCGAACTTTTTAAATTTCCCGCCATAACTATGGTCACATGACATCTATCACAGTGCTTTTTTTTTGTTGATAGGCATGCTGAATTGATCCCACGTAACATTATTTTTGATATTTTAATAATAAAATATTTTCCCATTTGTTGCAAACTTTTTGGCGGTCACTGTACATATTTTGTTTTAAGAAATTTTGGCTCATAATTGGCTAATTACCCTGGACTATTAATGAAATTATCTCAATTAGTTCCGGAGATATCGCGACGTATGTGTGAAAAAGTATGAAAACTGAATTTTGAAAAATCTATGACATTTTTCGATATAAAAATTGTTGGAACTTATAAAAAAATGTTGTAATTGGCCATTTCAGATAACCATGGACCTATTCCATCGTTTTGTAAAGGTTTCATGTAGTTATACCTTGAAAAAACATTTTTGAACATTTTTGCCGCGTTTTCAGTCTATGAATTAAATAGTAGAATCAATTTTTTTAAACTTAAATTTGTATCAAAATTTTTCCGTAAATTTTATATAAAATAAATTCCTTCATCTAAATAAAAAACCTAAACCCGATTATTCCGATTTGTGTGGACTTTATTTTTTGATTAAAATAAAATGAATATAATTAATGCACGGAAGTTAAAGAAATACCTATTTTTCTAATATTGTTTATTATTTCGAAGGACCTGTTTATCTATTTGAATTTTAATAAGTAAACACATAATTATCAGTTATCGTGCGTTGTGCGCGGTATCGGCTGTAATAATATGGCAACGTTGCTCTCAATACCTCCACGGAAAGCGAAATAAATTCGAAATAAATTCGGAGAGCAGCGCCGCCTATAGGTAAAAAACACTCCGTAAACTTTACGCTTCTATCCGTCGTATATTATTCTATGGTAATATGTTATTGACTCACATTTTGCCTTGTTAGGCATTCTTACTTTCATTTTTCGATTTTACCGTAATTGAGTTTTAATTGAAACCAATTAATTTCTCTACAACTTTTTAATTGAGGGGTTTTTCACCTTGTTAATAGGTGTACAAATCACTGGTTTATATATGTTAATACCAGGTAAATATTATGTCAATAGTGTCAATACTATGCAGTACCTACTTGTTTTATGTAGGTTATGTATTGTCAATAATTTTAGATATATAGGTAATATATGTTGATGTCATTGATTGATACCCATCAATAACATGTGGATATGTCAATAACTAGAATTCTGGTAAGACAAATATTCGATTTTAGTCTGTCAATAGCATGGCAATATCTGGTAATATGTGATGATACTAGGGAAATAATATGTGAAAATATTTTGTTAATATATGAAAATAGTTGGATATAACTTGTTATTAGGTACATAGAAATAACTGTTAATACATGGAAATATCTCATTTAGTACTGTTAATCGGTGTACAAATTTTGTTAGGTGAAAAATCTCTCAGTTTTGTCATTGTCATTGTTACCAAAAGTATTTGAGACCAAAATAATTGATAATAATCTCCTGGACTATTTCTAACATCATTTCATTTTAATCATAGCTTGACACTGAAAGTCATATAATACTACAGCATATACAAAAAACAATATGCTGTGATACTAATACAAGAGTTAATATGTTGGTGTTGCAGTCCTAGTTACTTTTGGTGACAATGGTACCTGTAACAGTTTCCCAGGCTCAAAGATTTCAAATTTTGATTTTCATATATAATATCACAAGAGAAAAAATTTTGTCGGCAAAATTTTCGAAAGGTATGAAAGTTTGTTGCTTGGCAATTTCGCCAATGACATTTTTGACAAAATCACGAGCCGTCAGGCGAGTGATTTTATCAAAAATGTCATGAGCGAAATTGCCGAAAAGCAACAAACTTGAATAAAACCTTGAGAACAATTTTGCCTACACAATTTTTTCTCGAGTAGTATTCGTCATGACTATTTCACGTAAGATTTTGAAAATAAATAGAATGCAAAATTATTAATGAAAACTTCAAATCAAAAATACCAGTTTGACAATGTCAAAAGATGGTCACTGAAATACCATGTTGTTGGTATTGTCCAGGTATCATTATGGTCAGGTGAATACCGAATTTATTGATGGTGTAATACACTCTAGTGAAATAGTCATCAAAATGAGCTAGCAAAAAAAAAATAATAATAATAACATTGTCCGCAGATAAGGTGTCCAAAGATGTAGAAGAAAAAGAAAAGGACGAGAGCGAAGAGAAAGCGACAACTGAAGAAGAAATGTTTTCTCCTGAAATTGGATTTACCGTAAAAATTCAGAGTCCTGGAATTGAGGCTTTCGATATTCAAGTGAGCAAAAAAATTAATACCTAATAATAATATTCGAATCATTGTGTATTTATAATCCGATGTCCAAAGGTAAAGGTAAAATTTATCACCTTTCATTCAATTTGATTTTCTTCAAATAGGTGTCCAGTATAGAACTAGTTCAAGAAATCCATCAGCTTCTAATGGACCGAGAAGACACTTGCCACCGTACCTGTTTCTCCTTGCAATTGGACAGCAACACTTTGGACAACTTCGCCGAACTGAAAAACATCGAAGGCTTGAAAGAAGGCTCCCTGATCAAAGTAGCCGAGGAACCGTACACCATGCGCGAAGCCCGCATCCACGTCAGACACGTCCGCGATTTATTAAAATCCATCGATCCGGCTGACGCTTACAACGGCATGGAATGCAATTCTTTAAGTTTTTTGAACACCGTCACTCAGGGAGATATTTTGGAAAAGAAACGGATGCGGCCGGAATCGGTCGATTGTACTCCGCCCGATTTTATTCTGCCCGAGAACAAGGACAGGCCTTTGACGGCGCTACAGCCCCAATTCAAGGACCAGAAATCGCCTCAGTGCGTCAAAGTGCTAACTACTTCCGCCTGGAATCCGCCGCCCGGTTATAGGAAACTACACGGCGATCTTATGTATCTTTATGTGGTATGTATATTGGTTTTGAATTATGTAATTGTTCTTCTGCAAAATATGTATGCAATTTTTGGAAGATTCCGTCTCTACACAAGTATATTACGAAAGTACTTAAAGTACAAGTACAAGTTTTCTAAAATTATACCTACTATACAACTTGTCAACTATGAGATGTCAACATTTATAGTGCAATAACGCAAATTTCATTCCGTTTTCTTTGTTACTACAAGACTAATTATATAGTAATCAGTTTTCTCTACCGGTTCTCGTTTAATTCTTCCCGTGTACTCAACTTCCCTAAGAATTATCTTACAAATTGGCGCCCAACGTGGGGCCACGGTGAGTTTCAAGACTGGTACAGTGATTATTGTGTATCGTTCGCGATTTTCGTGTAGTTGTTTGACGAAACCTTGATTTAAATTGAAATTTTTATACATTATATGTGAAAATTTTTCAGGTGACACTAGAAGATAAACATTATCACATATCAGCGTGCGCCAGAGGCTTCTACATCAACCAATCAACTGCGGAAGAGTTCAATCCGAAACCCGCGACGCCCAGCCACCTGTGCCACTCTCTAATTGAGCTACTGAATCAAATTTCGCCCCAATTCAAAAGGAATTTTTCCGCTTTGCAAAAGAAACGCAGCCAGAGGCACCCATTCGAAAGGGTGGCCACTCCTTATCAGTTGTACGCTTGGTGCGCTCCCACCATGGATCATACCATCGATGCTATTCGGGCTGAAGATTCCTTGTCTTCCAAACTTGGTTACGAAGAACACATACCCGGTCAAACCAGAGACTGGAACGAGGAATTGCAAACCACCCGAGAACTTTCTAGGAAAACTTTACCGGAACGGTTGCTACGCGAAAGGGCGATTTTCAAGGTTCATAGTGATTTTGTAGCAGCAGCCACCAGAGGCGCGATGGCGGTGATTGATGGTAATGTGATGGCGATCAATCCGGGCGAAGAGGCCAAAATGCAAATGTTTATTTGGAATAATATTTTCTTTTCGTTGGGTTTCGACGTCAGGGATCATTACAAGGAACTGGGCGGCGATGCTGCTGCCTTTGTGGCTCCAGTAAGTATATTACTACTACACGGAAATACTGCCATAGTTCTGGGGTCCAAAAGTCCAATTAACACAACAATAATTTGTTCCTCAGTATTAATTTTTTTTTCTACAATTTAATACTTATTGATTAATTTTCCTTTACAGCGCAACGATCTCCAAGGTGTCAGAGTTTACAGCGCAGTCGATCTGCCAGGCCTGTACACTTTAGGTACAGTTGTCATCGATTACAGAGGTTACAGGGTGACAGCTCAATCAATCATACCGGGAATATTGGAAAGGGAACAAGAACAATCGGTCGTTTACGGGTCAATCGATTTCGGTAAAACCGTTTTGTCGCATCCGAAATATTTGGATTTGGTAAATATGATTTGAGAATTTGTAGATTAAAGTTTCTTTGATGTCAGAACTACATCTTTCATGATGATTTTTTTGTGAATTGCAGCTTAACAAGGCCGGTCAACAGTTGAAAATTCTACCGCATCACGTGTTGAATGACAAAGATGAAGCCGTAGAATTATGCTCGAGCGTGGAATGTAAAGGAATTATTGGAAACGACGGTCGGCATTATATCCTGGATCTTTTGAGAACTTTCCCGCCAGATGTCAACTTTTTGAAATGTAAGGATTACATTTCATGAAAATTGTCTTTGTTACATTTTGAAAAACTAACTAATCTTGAACTAATTACACTGGCCTTGAATTAGTTACACTGACTTTAAACTAGTTACACTGACCTCAAACTATTTACACCAACCTTAAATTAATAATACTGACCTTAAACTACTACTATAGTTACATTGACCTTGTTCCAATTGAACCGACCTTGCATTTCTCTTGCACTTATTGCACTGATACTAACTATTATTTTCAGTGGAAGACGACGATTTAAGCAAAGAAGTGAAAGCCCACGGTTTTCCAATCGAACACAAACACAAGCTCTGTTGTCTCAGGCAAGAACTCATTGACAGCTTTGTCGACGCCCGTTATATGATGTTCATCAAATACGCCGCCTACCATTTGCAACAGCTGAATCTCAAAAAGACCGGCAGCGAAAAACTAAATCAGAAATCTATAGAAGAAAAAGTAGAAGATAATAAGGAAATTGTTAAGGACGAGAAAAAGGAGAAAAACGAACGCGAAGATAAAAAGAGTCAGATGGAGGACGATGAAGCCAAGAAAATTGTCGAAAGTATCACTGATGGGACTAAATTGGAATGTAATTAATTAGCATTAATAATTATATAATTTGATAAATTGAAATATTTTAAAATTTCAGTGGAAGAAAGTACTAAAAACATTGTCAAAACGGCCTCGATAGCTGTTGGTTCACTTAAAGATGCTGAGTTTGACATCCGATTCAATCCCGACGTTTATTCTCCAGGAATAAAGCACTCGGACAGTTTGGATCCGGCCATATCCAAACAAAGACAGTTGGTTAAGGATGCCGCCGAGTTTTTGTTGACAGTGCAGATTCCTACTTTTGTAAGTTTTTTGCCACATTTTACCTTTCATGATTTCTTCTTCAAACAACAGTCAGCAAGAATCCTATCACTTGTTTCTTCTAGTGCATCAAAATGGAGTTATCCCACTTGCCAATAGTTTAGATTTCAATAGGGAACAATCATATTTTTCAATTTTTTTTTTCTTATTGCTCATGTTTTCAAATATAAAATATGTTTATTTTTTTCTGTATTATGTCTAGGGTTGCCAACAGAATTCCTTTATTTTAGACTAATGTTCTTTGTCCTTTTGAAAGTTGTCAAAAGACGGCAATGTCCTTTAAAATTTGGAAATATATAAATGAATGCTCCAATTTTTTTCAAAATTACCATACTGTCACAGCTTTGGGTTGCCTGCTGACAATTATCTTGGGTTCGTTGTTTGTTTCGTTTATTCCAAAAATCAAAGGCCAATTAACACAGCAACAATTTATTCCACTTAACAAAACACTCTGACACTAATTACTTTAATAACTAACTCAACAATTAAACTCTTACAACTCGCAATAATCACTATTTAAATCGTATCACAGTCAACTAAAAAACTACAAAGCAATAGCCGCCTTTATATATCCCTAAATCTGTTCCTGTAAAATCTAGAATACCCACGATAATCTTATTTTCCCAAATTAAGTAGAATAATTCGCTAGATTCTAGTATTTTCGCCATCGAGGTTGAGATTCTTGACAGCCTGGCGAACATTTTAATTGAAATATACAAAGTATATTTCAATTAAAATGTTCCTTTGTTTTAACAAATGTTATTGTTAAAAATGTAACTTACTTAAATAATAATACCATTGTCTCTCGTTCATTTTTTAACCCAGTAGGCAGAATAAAATACTTCAGAAAAAAAAGATTGGTAATTGTATTGTGAATGTTATTTATGGAAGGATACATGTATACTACCCTTTTATGAATAAGGGCTTAAAGCAGGATAAGGCAGTGACAAGTACAGGGCTCAGGAGAGTTCTCTTCAGTTTGAGGCCGGTGTTGGGTAAAGCTCTGATCAAATAGTGTATGTTACTAGTTATAAATCTTTTTTAGAAATAACTCAAGTAAACACAGCATCAGAGCTTTAACCTTAAATATACGCTCTGTTAGATAATAAAATTGATGAACTTTGTATATTTCTTGACAAATTGAACTACCCAGAACTAATAATATTTACAGAGCATTGGTTGGAACACGAGGAACCTTTCGGCATTTCTGAGTATCATGGTAGATCGACAAACATAGGTTATGGTGTGGTACAAGTATATTAGTAAACAGAGATTCTGCTTTATATTTTACGCTAGAAAACATCAATAAATACAACCATTTATATATGGAAAGCATTTTTCAATTCTCATTGGCATATAATAAGAACAATAATATCTATATTCTCTGTGTATATCGTCCTCCTGTTACAAATTCAATTAATTTCCTAATAAGTTCAGAAATCATTCTATTGGACCTACCACCAAATAGTAAAATTGTTTGTACCGGTGATTTCAATGTAGATTACAATAGTAATAATTTGGTTAGTACAGTATCTTTAAAGAATATAATAGCTTTGTTCGCGGGTCCGATTCCGAATTGGTTCAGAACTAATTCGGGATTGTCGTAGAGCGCATGCCTAATTAAGAATCGGTTCAGGATTTCTTTTTACCGCGAACGATTTTGGAACCGAAAACTGAATACTTTTAACATTATGTGATTTGTGAATCTCATTAGCTATTCGATTTCCATAAATCAAAAAGAATAACAGAACAGATATAATATTTATATTTATTGAAAATTCGAAAATGATCTATAGTCTATGCATCCAGAGGTTACCCATAAGTTGTAAAACACAGGGCTAACAATAAATTAGTACAAGACCAAGTGAACGAATTTACATTTAGTTCTATAAAGTCCTTTTCCAAACTAATTTTAAAGTTTTTGAATTGTCTACGTCGAAAATCAATGACTATAAAGTAGTTGCCTATTTAAAATTTACTTCATAAAAAAATATTACTTGACAGAATCATATTTTGAAGTAACTTTGAAAAATGGTACACCAGCACCTGAATTAATATAGGGCCTGTCAACGTTTTTGAACAAGATTTATACCGAAATTCCAGTGTTTCCCAAACAAAACAAAATTTTGTGTTAAGTTTGATAATAATTATGTTTTACTTGTAAACAATATGTTAAAATAATATTAATAAAAGTATTATAATCTGTATTCAGCATTAGATGAATATATTGCATTTTAAATAAATAAGAAATGTAAATACCTATCTGTGAAATAGTTATTTTCCTAACAAGTGCGCAAAGTGTTACTTTTCCGCACGCAAACACAGTTATACGAACGACGCGAAGCGGAGTTCGGATACGTGTTTGCGTGCGGAAAAGACACTTTGCGCACGTGTTAGGAACAAAATTTTTCCTACGAGCTTCATATCAGGTAGGTAACAACAAAAATTTAAAAAAAAAAACGATAATTTGTTTAATTATTTTTAATTAACTTGAAGGGAACCTATGCATTTATCAAAAAATTACATAACAAAAAAAAAATATAACAGAAAATCATCGTCAGAGCTCTTCATCTTAAAGCGTTTAATGGCGATTTCCATTTGTCATCAGTGCCGCACTGAGTGCATCCGCATCTTTTTCTAAAAGCATGTAACATGTAAGGATAAGGATACATTTTTTTGCCCTGTTTCGACAAATGGAAAATGCTATAAATTTGATGAGAAAGTTTGTAGATGCATATATATAGAAAACAAATCTGACAATGTGTTGAAGTTAATTAAATTTGGTGTTTGTAGGTATAGATGTTAGCTGGAACAGGAACAGAGGAAAAATTTGTCATCATGTGTCAAAGTCGACAGGTGTACTTATTGTTGCTTGACAATTATTTTTACTTTTCGGCACTCAGTGCGGATAAGGCCTGTATCCGCACTGAGTGCGGAAAAGTGCAACTTTGAGAACCGAAATGCGTGCGGAAAAGTACTACTTTGCGCACGCTCGTAGGAAAAATATATTTCTTCACAAACTTTCATGACCCACAAAACATTTTGAGAATTTCAGGTAGAGCCCGTCCTCTCTTTGTATTTCCCATGATTTATAGCCATGCCGTGTTTTACAACTTAAGGGTAACCTCTCGATGCACAGACTATATATACATTGTTCATCCCTGAAATATGGCATCACTTTAATTACATTGCTTTTAGGAACTTAATCAAGCTCTAATTCTGCCTTGTAGCATTTGAGTTTTCTTTAAATGCTACCCTTCATTTTTTTTTGTGAAAGGTTTATATCAAAGAGGATATTTACCTATCTAGTTATATAATATTTTTACTTGAAACAATAATTAAGGATGGGATTTCCCATCGGTTGAATATTTTTATTTAATTTCAATCCTACAAAATAATGCATCATTTTTTTTCTATTTACAAATTTAATCTATTCAAATTCCACTTTCGCTTTCATTACTTTAGAACACATAATCCTGTTTTGGTCACCATCATCTGTTTATCTCGATTAAAGGACAAACAACGCATCTTCTCCACTAGCCCACGGTTAGGGGGTTGAGGGCGTTAACTTGCTTTAGCCTAAAACAAATGGGAATTATTAATTATTTTAACTTTCACGTAATGGTAGCAAATAAACAATACTTACCTGGTATGTTGGCTTAGCTAGCAAGGGGATAAGTTCACAAGGGTTAATCTTGTATAACAACCACTGATTGGCTCATAGAGACTGGGACTTTGGGTTTAGAAGTCCTTTTGTCCATTGTTGTTATTTCAAATTTTGCTGTTGAAATTCCCAGCTGTTAAATGTCAACCAGTATCTGCCGCGGGCTATGGTTAGTTCCTAATTTGAATTTTGCAACGTTGCCAAATTTATTTTGCACAATTCCTTGAATTTTCGTACACATTCAAATTAACCGCGCTTTCTTCTTTCTTGGATTTCCGCTGTCATCGAATCTGGTGGAATCAATTTTACGGGTTCTGGGGACCGCCTGTTAGCTCCAACAGTGGACTGTATAAATGAAACTGATCGTTGAATTGAATTTTCAATACAAAATTACAAAATATATCAATAATCTTTCCTTGGCGACGAACAAAATTCTCCGTCACTTGTTTTCAGCTGGTCAACGGCAACGATATATTGGAGAAATATACATAAGTTTATTTACTTGCCCTAACATGCCGCCAGCCTTGAAATAACTAATTTCAACATTAAACCAATTGAACTATATCATATTAAAAAAAAAGAAAAAAGAAAGGGTTCACTGAATTGGCAAAACACAAATTTTAGATATTGCACGTTTAAATACCGAACCATCAGCACATCGTACACTGACTACACGAACTATGCTGTCTGGGCCAGGATGAAGTTCGAGCACTCTACCAGTTTTCCATTTGTTGACTGGAACCTGATCCTCCTTGATGATTACCAAACTACCAACTGCTAATAGTTTGGTGTAAGACTTTTTCCATTTGATTCGAGACTGCAATTCGGAGATGTATTCCACATTCCATCGCTTCCAGAAATGATGAACCATAGCTTGTAAACGCTGATATTTGCTCAGTCGATTTTCCGCGACGATCGTGTAATATGGTTCTGGAAGGGCGGTTAAAGGTTTTCCCACCAGAAAATGGGCCGGAGTAAGTGGTGTTGTATCCTGAGGGTCCGTAGACAGCGGTGATAATGGCCGGGAGTTCAACACCCCTTCAATTTGAATTAATATTGTGCAAAGATCCTCATAAGTAAGACTAGAAGCACCTATAACGCGTTTCAAATGGAATTTAAAGCTTTTTACACCGGCTTCCCATAAGCCACCAAAATTAGGTGCTCTAGGCGGATTAAAGTGCCACGATATTCCTTCAGCTGAAAGTGTTGAGGCTATATCATTTGAATTAGTCTTAATAAAGTCAAAAAGCGTCGCATTGGCCCCCACGAATGTAGAACCATTGTCTGAATAAATATGCAAAGGTTTACCCCGTCTTGC